ACCCTAAGAGAAGCGCACAGGGGTCCAAAACCATTTGACAGCGCTCCACGGATATGTCTACTGACAACCAGAACTTAGCCGCCAACCTTCCAGTGATTGGAGGCCTTCATGAGTAAAGGCCATAGCCACAGTCCGCAGTTCTTGGTACGTGTGTCTCACATGGCTGGCTTTGCGCATGTGGCATTTTGTGTTGCAGCCTTCCGTTTGCGACTACCGGCTAGGAATCGGGACTCCATGCACCCGGTCTCTTGATCCCAAGTTGTTTGATCACCGCTTCCTAGACGCCCCTTGGAGAAAGAGCGACCGTGTTGCGGCGAAGACTTTTTGGTTGCAGTCCAAAAACAAAAACCGAAACTGACCAAAACAACTTGGAGTTTCGTTCTCGCACCTCTCATAGAACTTGAGAACCCTTTTGGTGATAAAATGCAGACCAAAGGAAGGTTAGCAGTCTTTCCAGTGGTAGCTTCCACGTTTTCAGGTTGTTTTTTTTCCGCTTTCGCGAAAGCAAGCAGGGAAAGGGGCTGGCCTTTCAATGGCAGGGAGTCGAGCTCAAGGGATGCAACGTCAGGTGCCAAAGCTGAGACCGCCGCGGGCTCAAATAGTTTTCACTTCGGTCATCCAGCCCTTAGCGGATGGGTATGATTTCCCCTCCGCCACCTGACGTTCGGGGGTTCCCTTTAAAGGCAAATGGTCCAAACCCGGACCCCTGTCAGGTTCCATGTGAATTGGTGCCTGTGGTCAGGCGACACCCTTGGAGTTGTCAGGCGTGCCTTCCTCATTCTCAAAAAGGGTACCTCAACAGACACGTCGTGCAGGTGAAGGCTGCCCCGCAGAAATGCTTTGGGCCAGGTTTGGAACCGGCCCCGACCAAAGCGGTACAATACCCCAGGTGGCTCTGGCAGTTTGCTGGGCAGCTTCATGGGGTACTAGAACACGTGTATATTTATATATATATATATTTTGCGCTGAACCTCTGAGAAATTGCCAAACCCCAAAAATAGCAAACTGGTTTGGTTTGACGTTGGTTTTCCTTTTCGAGGGACCAAGTTTCTATGTGCCAGGGTCTTTGGAGCAGACAACGTTTGGCACACCATCGATGACAACGCGAAACCAGGCTGAAGCAGAAATCCTAGATTCAAGTTGCATCTTTACAGTTCTGTATTTTCTGAGCTCCTGTTTGTGATACGTGGAAACCAACCAAATAAATACGTTGGTGCATCTTGCTTGGATGTTAGGAATTTAATTGTTTGCCAACTAATGGGTTTTCCATCAAACCACTACAGGTTAAACTGCTAGCAGGGGAGCAGAAAGCAACCGAGAATACCCATTCGTGGGGGGAACAACTCAGCTGGAACAACGTCAAGCCCTTGAAAATTCAACTCGCTTCAGGCGAAGCCCTCCAGAGCGGGAGGAGGCGCCAGCGGTCGGTCGGTCAGTCGATCGTCATGCATTCGTTTGGGCTAGCCCTGGAAGCAAGAAGCCCAACCTTTAAAAAGGCGGCCTCTTGATGAAGAAGAAGTTGATTCACAGAAATGAAACTCCACAAGCCATGGAGCTCAAGTTGGCGAGTAGGAACCCAGTAAGCACAACCGAGCGCGTGGTTGATTGAATGGGGGGTGCCTCAGATTGGATCGATTGCGAGATTGCGGATCGCCTGGCACAAGGATAAATTGTTAACATGTGCGTAGGCGCAACAATCAGGGGTAACATTCGCACACAGACTTCCGACATGTTGGCAAGTCTGACAGGCTTGATCTATGCTCCCTTTACAGATCACACCAAAGCGATATTTGATACAAGTTGGCTAGGACCCCGGATTCAGAACTGGGGCGACGTTATAAATTCGGAGTCAATGGGCCGCGCATACCTGGCGCGAGTCACCCTGGCGTGCGAATCAAGCGGGAAGCATGCAGCCAAAAGGATGAGGTTTAAAGAATGCACCAGGGTAGATGGCACAATTGCCTTTGCGGGGTCAAGTAAAGGATGAGTGAACCATGAGTTCATTTTGCCAACTTCCCCATACTGTGGTTGAAACAGCTTCAGAACCAGTTGTGTGTGTGTTTTTCCATATCCCCCCCTTTGGGTTGAAAGGAGCATGAAGTCCGGAAGCTACTCAGAACCGGGGGGTCAACATGACAAAAGCCCAGTTGGATCGAGGCTTGGTGGAGAACCAGGACGGCATGCCCGGCTTCGAGGAGCCCATCGAGCCACTTGCCGGCTCCGGTGATCCCACGTCCTCGCACGGGGCGGTCACGGGTGAAGGGATAGCCCGAGACATAAATGGGTGTGTCCCTTTTTTTGGAGGGTGCAATTTTGTTGGGGCTTGGTTTACAGGGAAGCCAAGGGAAAACTCACCATTTTTCGGTACTCTTCCAAAAAGACATACCCAGAGAGGTGCGGCAAGCCGCCCTTTTGGTGCGTTTCTATGGTTTTGTCATGTTTTGTCGAAGACTGTTTGAAGTCGGAGCTTATACGCGTGCTGTCAACATACGCGTGGAGGCGCTTTGCGTTTGGACGCGTGGCTTGGAGTTGATGTAACTATGGAGTGTCATATTTACCAACATGCCTTTGTAGGCCTCTCAGAGCAGCATTCGTAGGTCGACTTGTCGAATTCTATGACTTTGTCGGATGCCACTTTTTGGCGAGACTAAGCGTGATGGCGTGATTAGCGGATTGAGCGTAGCCAAATTGAACATACATTGGGGCCAAATAATATACGCCATATTTGGTGTGCCTTTGTTTGTGATCGTGATTTGGCGTGATTTAGCCCGATTTGCCAGCCCGAGGGTCTCAAAATGACGGCCTCGACCAATCCGACACACTCACGCTCGACATTTGTCAGGATACCAAATCAGGGATCAGGATCATAGACGAACGCACAAATATGGCATTACAGCAAATTCCGGCTGCAAAGTGACAGAGAGACAGAGAGGCATCGCTCATCCCAGCGCCGGAATTGAACAACATGTAACATTACATAACACTGCGGTGTTTGTGCTGGGCGCAACTCACTATTCGCCCCAACTTGCGCAAAGGAGACGACAGGTCGTGACCGCAACGAGCCATCATTTGTGAGAGGCATGGGCCACTGCTGGAGCAGCTAAAAGTCCCATGTGCTGCGCCATATTTGGTGGGCTCAAGTTGAACCTGTGGAAAACTGTCTGAAATCAATGCTTGTCATAAATGCTAGTGGCCATCATCGGTGGGTTTCCTCTTTATGTCGTCCGGAATGTTCGGACATCAATCCGTATGTATTTCTGATGTCCGCCAACGGGTGGATCCAATGCAAGTGTATACCAAAGGTGCTAATGTGGGTTGTTTGGAGGCGAGGCTAGAACATTGGGAGCCCTCTTCAGACTTGGTTCTTGTAAACTCCGCCTTGGGGTGCTTTTATTGGAGAACCAGAGGAAAACTTTTAGGGGTTCCCCTATTTGAACACACACCCATCGCGCCCGCATGGCCGCGGTGAGGTTCCTCCAGACCAATCCCAAGAAGGCGAGCGAGCTTTCCGTTTCGTGCGTTTCGGGCCAGATGCACGACGAAGGATTCGTGCGCCGGTGGCAAAATGTTTTTTGCCCACCCGGCAGGAAGGGGTTGTTAGATTTTATGTTGGAATCCGCGTTTGCGATGCTTCTACACCACGCCCCCACCCAGTATCCCGCCAGAGCAGCTCGCCGGTGGATCCCGCCGAGTATCCCGCCAGAGCAGCTCGCCAGTGGATCCCGCCGAGTATCCCGCCAGAGCTGCTCGCCAGTGGATCCCGCCCAGTATCCCGCCAGAGCTGCTCGCCAGTGGATCCCGCCGAGTATCCCGCCAGAGCGGCTCGTCAGTGGATCCCGACTAGTAATTATCCCGCCAGAGCGTCTCGCCAGTGGATCCCGCCGAGTATCCCGCCAGAGCTGCTTGCCAGCGGATCCCGCCGAGCATCCCGCTGAGTATCCCTTGCCGGTGGATCCTGCCGAGTATCCGGCCAGTATCGAGCCGGAGCTGCTCGCCAGCATTCGCCAGTGGATCCCACCAGTATCTCGCCAGAGCAGCTCGCCAGTCTGGCTTTGCTTAATGTCCAAAAGGGCCGATGAGAACTTGGAGTCAAAGTTTCTAGGAGGGCACTGATGCTGGCACGCGCGAGACACATTGAAAGAATGACAGAAAAGAACGTCTTTTTTTTCTTCTGTTGTTGTTTTCCTTTCTTTTATCGTCGGGCCCCTTGGACGCTTGCCGCGGGTTGCTTGGCGTGCGTGTGGGTTTCCTTTTTTTGTGTTTTTCCCTGTTTTGTCTTTTCCTTTCTTACTGAACTCCTGAAGAGATGAAATGAAGCAGCCAGCTGGCGCATTGATACTCCCTCTCATTGTGCCATCAGTGGACCATCGGCCGCCAACCGATGATCGCGCGTGCTCCAAACCTCCGCGTGGTGCGCACTGGAAACTCACCCCATATGCGAGGTAATCATCGGATCCGGGTCACAAGGGGCGGACATGCAGGCAATTAGCAACAGAGATGAGGATGGAATCGAACCAAGGAACATCGAACGCGGAAAAGACACAAACATCAGGAAAACAATCAGGAAACACATAGGGTGAGGCAAACGTCCCTCCTCTTAATAGAGGTGGTCGGTGTAGACCGACCGACGAGGAGCAACGGGGTAGATACCGGTTGAACCTGGACTTGGGAAGACGGCCTCTTGGGGACTCGGCGGCCGTACCGCTTCCTCTCCGTGCTTCAGCCCTACTCCGGGTAGAGGCGGGTGGGCTCCGACTCTCCGAGCTAATTGAGGAGAATGCCGATGGCAGGAATTGAGCAGACATAGCCGAATCAACTCACGTGATAAACAATGATGGACTCCGCCCCATAGAACGCCATCATGCGCACATCGGCTGCTGTGTAGAAGCTCAAGCACAAATGGCAGGCCGAGCCGGTAGAAAACGCCGCCGCAAAGCGGCCACATACTGGGCCACCCTCGCAGCACAACTACTGACGGGTAGCACACATGGGCAAAGCAGAAACGCGGTACTCCGGAAAGCCGACAAATTACGCAAACATAGACGAGTGCAATGGGGAAAGTTCTTAAAGCGGCAAAAACAGACAAGACGAACTCACCATGACATACGCATAGGCACATGGAGCACTCGCCGACTGGGCGCTGTGCACGGGCGGGTTGACGTCGCGACCGAAATTCGGCACATGGCAGAGGTCTGGCAGTTGCGAGCATGGGACGCAGCGCTACTACAAGATGTAGTGCGGCAACAACGGGAACTCTTGACAGCGTCCTCTGGCGCACAGCGGCTCTCCGCGAAACAAGAGACTCACAACAACAACAACAACAACAACAACAACAACAACAACAACTACAACGACACACCGTACACTGACAGCGTCCTTTGGCGCAAGGCGGTGTGTTGTTTCCGACCAACCTAGTGCCCTCTGGCACAAAGTAACCAAGTGAAAGGAAAAAACACTTGGACTAAGAACAGCGTCCTCTGGCGCAGGCTGCCACACATGTTTCACCTGGGTTTGGCAGGGGAGGCTCGAGCTTCACATGGGCACAAGCAATCCACCACATCCCTCAGCAATAGACAGCGTTTCCATTTCGTCCTTGCTGGCACCCTCTTGTAATGGTTCCAAGGTGTTACCGCCGCAGCACGAGCCCTGACAAACCATCTTCTGTATTTTTTGGCAGCTCCAAGCACACCCTGACCCGCCGCCATCCCCTAGATATTTAGACCGTTCATTAGTTCTCTCGCGCTTGACACCCTGCCTACCCACAGTTTTGGTTTCACCGAGATGTACTGTGCCGGTTCTAGCTCTGCCTGCCTGCGCACTGATGGCGTTAGCCAGGCGCCTTAACGGTGCTGAAGGCTCAACGAACGAACGAAGTTTCTAGGATGCGGAGGAATTTGTTGTAACGGTCGTAAGTTCGTGAGTGTGGAGGGATTGCTCGAAACGAAGTATTTTTTTGCTGCGTTGGCGCCTGCTTGTCCAAACAACCAATTTGTGGTCCTCCTATGTTGAGACACATCCACTCGGTTGTTGTTGGGAAACATTTTTCATGTTTGCTTGTTGTGGTTTAGCGGGGAATCCCCACTTGGGTGCTAAAATTTAAGTTGCTCCCCTTTCAACGTCAACCAAGTCCAAAAGGTCATGCCACAATGAGTTGCTTGAAGAGTCTCCTGCGGGTTTCCCTCTGAGCCTCCGGACAATGGAGCCCAAACAGCTCCGTTTGAGAGGCGTCTCCTTGAAAAAAGACTCCCTCTCAATGCGCATTTCTGAACACCAGCTTTGCTCAACCTAGTGGCTTCGCCCATTTTCCGCGGCAAATGTTTGCTTTGGCCGGACCTGTTTGCCTTTTGGGAAACAAGGACTGCTCGCTACATATAGCCCGAAACGAGTCATATGGCCTGCACCTGTGGGTGCTTCGTTTTTGTGAGGATTGAATGGGTAAGTTGAAGCCAATTCAAGTCACGTGTCACTTAGCCAGCTCCTTGAAAGCAATGTTTGATCGGGGCCTTTTGCTGAGGTCAAGTGGTGTGGCGGTGGAAGCATCTCGACTTGCCAGGCGGGAGCTACATCCTTCGACCGCTACGAGAAGTACAAGATGGCCAAAACCATCAAGCAGGCGATCTGGTTGGCGCTGAGTGCTAACCAGATTCAACTGATTCGCCATGCGGATGGTCGAAATAGGAGGGAACACCAAGGTATTTCTTGGGTGAAACCGTATTCCAAATGGTGCAGGAGTAAGAAGAGCCATTGCGGCGGAAAACGTGGCTATTGATGACTCATTCGTGACTCGTGGGCTATGAAGGAAGGTCATTGCCATGCCTCCGCTGGCCCTGAATCAGTTGAAGCTGGTCGGGGGTGAATTCAATGAAGGAACACTCTGCTTGGCTCCTGGTCAGGGAAACGGTGATTTGGACCCCAGAGAGGGGGGGTCCCTGGGGAGCCGCAAGACCAGGACGCCAGTCCTACCAGGGGAACGCATGGAAGACACAAACTTGTTTTGTTTTGCAGCGGTATTGTAATCATTTCCTTGTTCTGTCATCCTTGGTGCCATGTCCCACTTGAATAGATCACTCCCGTTGAGGAAACCACACCGGGAAGTTGCCACCCTTCCACTCCACTGGGCCAAGACTCCTTTGCAACCTCGGACCTTTCCTGGACCCTTCCTGCAACCCCCCCAACCGTCACAAACCCCTGTCGGCCTCTTTGACCCCATCGCCGGGATTGGCCGACTTGACCTGTTTGCCCTTTTGCCTTCTTGGGCTTCCATGGTTTCCTTCATCCAGCAAAAGCTCTGTTGCCCAGTGGCGCCCTGTTGTCTTTGTTTTCCTTTTTGGGGTAAGGGTTCCCTTTCAAACTCAACCAAGCAAAAAAAGGATGCCCTTGTTTTCCCATGGCCACTGGGCATCTGAGAAAGTGTTCACTGACAACTCGTGGCCGCTGACAACTCGTTTTGCGGTGCTCGAAGGCATTGGCGCTGGGGGCTGCCAAGGGGGACATCCAGTACGACTGGAAGAAGGGCTACTTCAAGAAGCCCTGATGGCATGTCACCGTTTCGGCACACGCCCCTGCGCTTCGGGGTTTGACTTGTGCAAAGCTGGCTGATTGAACTGTGACTACTCGAGTCTTTGTTTGGAACCAAAACAACAGATTAGAATTACAAACTGTGTTTGAAACCCTGGGAGACTTTGGTACATAGTTTGGCTCACGTTTGATATACTTTGATCATCTTCGCCCTTGACTAAAATTGCGATGGTTGAGAAGATCAGCTGAGTTCGGCTTCAAATGCAGAGCTTTGACCAAGCCCAGCAGTGAAGCCAGTCCAGCGCGGCTGATTCCACTTCCCCGGAAGGGGCGTGGTGGTCTCCGAGCTTGGGCTGTGGGGCCGGGCGGCTGGGTGCTCGTGGCAAGGCAGGGGTTTGTAAATTCAACGGTTGTGTGCGGAGGGGCTATTTTTTCAGCCACACTCTGACACCGGGGGTTCCTTCAAGAGGAAGTTGATCTTCCAGTAGGAGGAAGGGTACGGGCCAAACACCACGTTTCTGTGTGGTATGGAAAGTCGGATGATGTACGCAGCTTGGTGGTTTGCAAGGCGTAGAGAATCAATCGTATTGCACCCTTCGCAGTAAAACAAAAATGTCGGGGGTGCCAGAGTTTAGGAGCTTGGGCACCTGAGGCCGGCCCATGCCGGCCCTTTGCACCGAATTCGGGGCGCTCGGAGAGAAGCGGAGCATGGGGTCCGTTGAAAAAGTCGCAAAGGCCGGAGGAGTTTGCGCCACTTGTGTATGGCTGCTTGTACAGTTTCGTTATTGATGTACCATGCATTGATTGAACCATTGATTGATTAAGTCATTGATGTGTGCATTGACTTGGCTTATGTGCTTGGTCATTCAATGCCATACATCTAGCCAGCTATGTGGTTGTGTTATCCAATGGTTCATGTACTGATTGTGATTGATTTACTAATTCGTTCATTAAGTTGGTCTTGTGTGTAGACATCAATTCATTCATTCATTCATTCATTCATTCATTCATTCATTCATTCATTCATTCATTCATTCATTCATTCATTCATTCATTCATTCATTCATTCATGCATGCATGCATGCATGCATGCATGCATGCATGCATGCATGCATTCAGTCAGTCATTCATTCATTCATTCATTCATTCATTCATTCATTCATTCATTCATTCAATCCATCAGTCAACCAATCAATCAATCAACCAACCAATCAATCAATCAATCAATCAATCAATCAATCAATCAATCAATCAATCAATCAAAACATTCATCCATTCATTCAGGCAGGCATTCAGTCATTGAGTCAGCCATTCATCCATTCATCCTTTCATCCTCCTGTCAATCCTTTCATCATCTGTTCATCCTTTCGTCCATCGTCGTCCGTCCATCCAGCCAGCCAGCCATCCATCCATCCATCCATCCATCCATCCATCCATCCATCCATCCATCCATCCATCCATCCATCCATCCATCCATCTATCCATTCACCTGTCCATTCAGTCATGCATTCATTCATTCATCCATCCAGTCAGCCAGTCAGTCAGTGATTTATTATTTCATTCGTTCAATCATTCAGTCAGTCAATCAATCATTCAGTCATTCAGTCATTCAGTCATGCAGTCATTCAGTCATTCAGTCATGCAGTCATTCGGTCATTCAGTCAGCCACTCAGTCAGTCAATCAGGCAGTCAGTCAGTCAGCCAGCCAGTCAGTCAGTCAGCGAGTCAGTCAGTCAGCGAGTCAGTGAATCAGTCATCATGATATGTTTACATAAATTCAGTTTGCTAATGCATGTATGAACCTACACGTTGTGCTTATACGACAGTACCTACATATAACACAGCGATTTCCGGGCCCACTCATGCCTTGAATTTGTTCACTGCGACTTCCGCTTGCTTGAGCTGTCGCCCTCATTCGGATGCGGGGCAACTCAAACGAAAATCAAGCACTGGAGCCCAGAAAGCCCGCAGAGTTCGTTGAAACCGACTTTGGAATGTGTCTGGGTCCAGGGAGCCGTGAAAGAGTTGGACAAGACATGTACCTAGATGGTGTGGGAGTTGGCAAAGTGCTGATTAACCGCCACCGATATAAGCAACTTGTATTTGCCAAAGATTGGGAAACGGCTGTGGCTCAAAACAGGGTAGTCCCAAAATGGCTTGCCCTGGTAAATGGAAGCATGGACTAAAAGCTGCGGTCCGATTCCTAGTGGTTTAATTTTTGACCCCCCAATGGTCCCGCCGGTTGCGAGTGTTGATGGATCCCTGGCTCTCAGGCAAAGGACGAGTCCAAGGACGACCTTGAGTCCAGGCCCCGGAGTTCGCGAGGTCGCCGGCTCGCAGCACTTCCAAGATCCACCGGAAAGACCAGTGGGCCTTTTTGGCCTCATTTTCTTTGGCCTTTTTGGCCTCATTGTTTGATCCCCTAGGCCTGCCAGGATCGTGCCAACTCTTACCGTTCCTTTTTTTGGGGAGGGTTCTCCTACTAAAATAGACTGCAGAAGAAAAGGGTACCCTTATTCTAACCTCTCTACTGGATGACCTAGCCCCTCCTTCAATAGAGAATTAAAGCGATTTTGTGTGGTTGGCAGTTGCTCAGTGAGTTCCATGGTGGGTCGACAGCCCGCCAACAATGGAATCAAGCACCCAGAACGGGTTTCATGTATTTGTACCAGGGTCACTGGGCAACTGCGAAATGGGTTTGTCTCCGAACTGGTGCCGCTCCCTGTTGATTATCCCCCTTCAACTGGGAAGAACATCATTTTGTTCACATGGGCTCAAATAAGAAAGAGTTGAAAGGCCCCCTCGTCTTTGAGGAGACATTGAGAGTAGATTTAAACCGTGGGCAACCCCATGAGCTTCAGTGCTCCACGAGCAGTGCTTTTCTCAACTTTTTGCAGGCTGGGGGTGGAGGATGTGGCTTTGGAGAAGAAGGACAAGAAGGACAAGACCTTCTGGTGCTTGGTTATTCACATCTGTCTAGGTTTTTCCCCTTTCGATTGATCTCAACCATTGTTCTTTCAAGAACCTGCCGGGGTTCCCTGGTTTGGGGTGTTCTAGCCAAAAGAAGCGTTCAGAATGCCTAGCTTGGCTTTGCTTGTATGGCGTACCAAATATAGACGACCATAATCTAAACATATGTTTTCTGGTTGCGCAAAAGCTGAGGCAGACATGGATCATTGAGTGGGAAATGTTAGGCAACCATTGCAAGGACTTCTATTGAGGGGATCCATTCTCACCGGGGCTTTGACCGCGGAGCAGAGGGTGGGTGGACCAAATGGCGGTCGACACCGATTTTTGGAGCAACTATGTTGTGCTGCTGTTGAAATGGATCCGGAAAGTCGAAGAAGCTGCCTCCGGGAATTGCGAAGGAAAGCCAGACCCCCTTGGACTATCCTTGTATTTGACAGTTGCTTGACTAAATTCCTGTAGAAGTTGTTTGGCTTGCTGGTTCTATGGTTCTATGATAGCGAGGCCAATGAAGATCTTACATTGAGAAGTTGCAAAACTGGGCTGGTTGCCCCTTTGGCCCTCCATCAAGGCGACACTGGCCCTCTTTTTTTGAATATCCTGCCCAAGTTCCACGCCTGCTTCAACTTTACACCTGGATGTGTAGTTGCAAACCTGCGGCAAGCTGCCAATCGAGTCGCATGCCATCAGAGGACAAGAAGGAGAAGAAGCAGGACAAGAAAGCCAAGAAGGCGAGAACCCCAGACTCATCCAGCTCGGCCTCGCCAGGGTTCCAACGACATCTCCCCCCCCCCCCCTCGCATCTGGTAATTATTGAACACCACCTTGGGGTTGCCAAAACGTGAGCCTCCTTTTCAGGTGTTGCTGGGCTATCCAAGAAAGGGTGCCCTGCTTTGGACACCCAGTTTGCTCATAAACTCTGACTGCTTGTCATTGGGTTTACTCCCCATTTCGGTTTCCCTTGGATTTCCAGCCAACAGGTGGTCCGCCGCTTTGAGAAACTCCCAGCCGCGTGCGCCCTTTCTGCCATGCAATGGCCCGCGTACAGAGCAGGCCGAGAAGAAGCTCAAGAAGAAGGAGAAGAAGGCGAAGAAGGAGCTCTGGCTCCGGCAAAATCAGCGGTTCAACGCCGAAGCTTCTCGCGAACCGTTTTTTGGGGTTCCCAGAAAATTCCCACTGGAAGGTCCTGGCAAGGCTTGTGAATTGTTGCAGCCGCCTTTGCTGGCATGGGGTTTTAGACCTAAGTGGCTTACTGGGTGTAGCCTAAAAGTACAAGGTCCGGGAACTATCCCCAGGAGGGATCTCAACAGGTGGAGCCAAGTAAACCCAGACGCCTTGAAGCAAAAGGGAGGCCCCACAAGTGGAACGAACCAAAAGGCTCGGTTCAAAGCCAATCTTTCTTAACCTGTCGGCTCACCCGGGGCCTATTTTCAGCGGCCCCAAGAAATCCTGGAACCCAAATCATGTTGGCCCCGAAAATAGGGAAGACTTGTTTTTAGAACCCGGTTGGATTGTTATTTCCAAGGCCTTTGGGCGGGTGACTTGAACCTGGGCTAAACCCAGTGAAGCATTAGGTTTACCCCATTCGTTAGGTTTTTGCAGCAACCCGAAGCGATGGACTTTGCAGGAGAAGAAGGCCCTGAAGGAGGCCATGCTCCTTCGCGCGGCTCAGGAGACGAGACGTTTTCTGCATGCCGATGAGCCGATGAGCCGTCGGTCTCTCCTGATTTGGCATCCTTTTGGGTGGGGACGCCTTTTTTGTTTGGGGGAGCTGCTTTGTTTTGGGGAGTTGTTGCTTGCCCTGAACTTTTAGCCCATTTGGCCCATAGTTGTTGAGAGCCTTCCTTGGATGCTTTTTGCACGGAGTGCGCATGGAGTGCGCTGCTCGAGCTTTAAAGAATCAGCACGAAGCTTCGGGGTCTGCTATGCAGGGCCGGCTGTCCCTTGAAAGGCCCAGGAGAAGCCAAGGCTATGGCCCGAGGCCATATTCAGGGTTCGGCAGGTTTTGGGAATGACACGTTTCGGGATAACCAGAAGCTGGAAGGTTGAAACGGGCTTATTGTGCACAACCTTTCCCAAAAGGAAGTTAAATGGGTTGTTGGGTGACCCTGCTTGGTATCCAGGCTCTGTTCTTTTTTTCCCCCTTTTTTTTTCGAGGGAACTGAGGGGTGATATGGATTTTGACCCCCAACGTTTCCACGGCTTGTAGCAAGCCTGCGTTTTCTTTTGTTCTTTGGGTTTGTTTCCTTTGCTGGCCGCCAAATTCCACTGTCAGAATTGAAGCCAACAGAAGCTGGATCTGTTGTGTCATTCAAAACCCCCAACACCCCCAAACCCTTGGCCATGATTTCCCTTTATTTGCCTCCCCCTTCAGTTGTCAAACGCATTTTTCAGTCGCCATGTTGCCCCCCTTCGACCTTTTGACCCGCTCGCTTCTGGGAGGAAGCCACGGGCAAGCGGAAGATGTCTAGCTCCAGCAGCTCCTGAGGCCCGGCAACGAAGCACTTTCCGTTCGAAAACCCCGTGGTGGGTGAAATCCAGCTGCGCTGTGTGTCTTCGGTGGGTGGGGTGGGGTGGGGTGGGGTGGGGTGGGGTGGGTGCTGAACCCAGCACAGCTGGTGATGGCGAAGCCCTAGGATTCGGGGTGACGCTTCTTCCATTTAGGGGTCCGTCCGGGAGCTTCCATTAAATTCTGAGGGAGTGTGCGGTGAGTCTAAGAAAACTAAAAAAACACCACTTCCCAGCTTTCTGTGGCATTGCACTGGTCTCCCAAATAAGTGGGATCAATTACGTTTGGGATGGCTTGGAGCTTCTAGTGAGTCTGGCCTTGTTTTCACAGGTTCTTTTTTTGACAATCAGCCAAAAGAGAGCGCCCTCTTTTTCCATTGTGTGGCGTCCTTTTTTAATTTTTAGGATCCCTTTGTGAATTCGGAAGTAAGGTGTTCTTTCGTTCAGCCCCTGAGACCAAACAAATATCATTGGTCTTCGACTTTGGCCGTGTCCGCCACACCGGTTTCTAAAAGTGTGAGGCTGATCAATCACGGTTCCGATGACAAGTGAATACGAGAAAGCTGTCACTGCATGGGTGTTGAATCAAGCAAGCAAACCTATCAACAAGCAGAACCAAACCAAAACCTGACTTGCCAGGGATTCCCCGTTGTGCTAATGGTTTTTCCAAGGTCTCAAAACCGCAACCGTGGAATTCCGCGTCAGTTGCATCAAATGAGAAACAACCGACACCCACAAAACCAAAACAGCTTAGCCCTCCCTCCCGCACTGAGGCCCCGCAAAAACGCCGCCGCGGTTTCACCCACAGGGCCACAGAGCCGAGCCGGCGAGCGAGCGACAAGGGTGCCTATGCTCATTTCTGCCGACCGAACGCACCGTTGAAAACCTCGAAAGCCTTTGGAGAATTCCCAGTGTTGTGTTGTTGTTGTTTTTTTGGGGGTGGGGGGGATGGATTAAACCTTTCTCGGGGGTTGTCATGATTTGTTAGGTGGGGGGATGTGGGGGGAGCGTTCATGTGGATGTTCTGTGAGTTGTTTTGGGGGCGTAGAGGGGGCATGTCCTGATTTGGCAGGATGTCCTTTTGGATGTTACTTGAAACCGGATTTCTCTGCTTTGGTTTACGTGTTTTGGTTGGATAGGACCCCTGCGGTTTTGTGTTTGAACATTGGCAAAGGAGCCTCGAATGGCGTTGCAAAGAGGCAGAGGAAATCCTGCCGGGATTCTTGCACCAAACCCCCCCCGAACAAAAGCGCAGTTGAGCCCCAGCACATTCGAAATGCTTCGCAGCGCCTGAACTGTTCAGTTCGAGGGTTAAACCGGCTGAGAGTCAACATTCAGGGCACTTTCAAGACTCGAGATTTCCTGAAGTACTTGCTTCACGTCTGGTGTGAATCTTCAGGAGTACCTTTGTTGGGCCCCAGCTTGCTTGTAAAGACCCGTTTGGGTGTAGAGCTAATTATTGCCTATGGAAGTGGATTGCACTTGTGAATCCAAAGAGAATGTGTGGTTGATTCAATTGGATGTCGGATACAAATTATGACGTAAAACGCGGTGATCCCTCTCAACCATTTGCTTCAGCATTATTATTATTATTGTTATTATTATTATGATTATGTGTGTTTTGCCTTGCTGGTTTTAAAGGGAATCTATCACGACTGGACATATGATCTTACTTTTCCCAGAAAACTTCAGCAAATGGAAGGTCTGGGACTCTGGGATTAGCAATTTGCCCACCCAAAGACCCGGGCTCTTCACTCGCTTTCGGCCTTTGCACCCAAGGCTCGCGGGATCAAAGGGCCGGCTGCAGGTTGCAACGGTTGGCGTCGGGTTCGAGTTTTGTTACGTGTGCCCTTCTCAGGTTGGTGCATTTTGCCTGATGGGATGTTAAAGGACTTTATTTGTTTTTGCCAAATAATGGGTTTTCCGAAAAAAAAAAAAAAAAAAAAAAAAAAAAACCACTAAAAGGTGATGTTTCAGCCGGACATTATGAGGACTCTGCTGTTGGCATAATTTGCCAAGGCGAGGGAAGTCAAGCAGACATTGATGAACTGGTTACTACTTGGTTTGTGCCGAAGATCGTATAACGACCAGCAGCATATATATATATATATATGTGCACTTGGCTTAGTTGCTTTTTGACTAAACTACCCTTCAAACCTATTGAACTTATTGATCATGTTTGTTACCGCCCTTTCCCCAAGCAACGAGTGATGCATTCATGCTTTGGGTTCAACATGTTGTTCACCTCGCAGAAAAGCGCTTCGCTTTTTGGCCGGGGGTTTTGCTACCCCCCCATCTTCCCAAGGCAAGAATTAACAAAAAAAAGGAAAACAAAAAAACGGACACCGCCGGAGCGCGAGCGGCGGAGCTGGGGCGGACGGCTCGTCGCCACTGCGCAGCGATGATCCCATGGAGCTGGCCAGTGCCGATGCCGAGCACTCAGTCATATCTCAGTTGTTTAGTGGCACCAATCCTTTTTCCCCCGTTTGTTTTGGGTGGCTGCCCCACTAAAAATGGTCCAAGCCCAAAGGTTTGTTTCCAGGGTCACTGAACTGAGATTTGTGCCGCATCTCAGGCCTTTCGGTTGGGCTACCCTCCCACCAGCAAACATGGGTTTGTGCACAGACCGTTGTAGAAAGACTGCTTTTCTCTTGGAAAGGGCCTTTGTGCACTTCCATGTTAGTTGGTGGGAGGGTATCAACTTTTCGGGAAGAGAATTTCAGCAAACAAGCAGCTTGCACGTTTTTGCCATTCCACTCGGAAAGCGACGCATGTGTCGAAACAGGGGGACCAAACAAATGGATAGCTTCCCCTCTTGGTCTTCCCTTGAAGCCAACTCTCAAAAGGACGGTACCCTGAAGAAAGAACATATATATATATATATATATATATATATATATACATATACACATACACACACACACACACACACATACACACACGCATACACACACGCACACATCTCCCTTTCCGTTCACATCTGCCTGCTCACTGAGGAAAAGCGAGCGCGCTATGATGTAGGTCGTTTACTTGTGGATCCCTCCTGTCCGGCTTTGGAATCAGAATACAACTTGCAGATTTTTCGGAGTCTGTTTGGGACCCCGGGTCTGAAGCGTCAAGAATATTAGGTTATTGAATTATAGACATTCTGGATTCATTCCGTGATCGTGTTGTTGGTTTAGTCGCACTCCAACAGCGTGGTCGTCTTTTCCAGGCGCAGGGCGGGATACTGAACATCAGGTGAGTGGTGAACAACCTTAGTTGCAACCCGCAGATCAGAGCAGGGACTTAAAGTCATGGTAGAGCGGATCAGCTCGGGTTCGGATTTTCAGGAAGAGGAGTATACCCCGTGTGCCACCTAGTGGTCTTGCAAGTGCCCTTGGAATGAACTCACGTCCCTGCTAATTGTTTTGCGGGGGTTCGCATCAAAAACTTCCCAAGCCCGCCAAAATCGCTCCGCCAGAGCGGGCAGGCTGCTACTTAGCGCCCACGCCGTGCCCGGGACTTACTGGGTCTTGGGGCCCTGGGGCCTCAAACCTATGCCCACGCGCCTTCATGGTTCTTGTTGGGAAACCTTTTACGTGTTTGCCTATTGTGGCTTGGTGGGAATTCCCCACTGAACTGAAAAAAGCATGTTGCTCCCCTTCCAACGTCAACCAAGCCTTTACTCGGGGATCCAATTCTTGCATGTGTTGGAGTCTTCATAGAGATCGGAGATATGGCGAACCCTGAATTAACATCAGCCGAGACGATTCACCCGGGGCCAACATGGAGCCCAAGCGTCCGAATGTCCAGGAGTTTCCTGGCATAGGATACGTTTGGAGAGGCCAAGCAACCATCAAGTCACACGACCAAAACAAGCCCAAAGCGAAACAATGGCTCGATTGGAGCACGCCAATAGAAAATTGAAATGCTACATAAGTTGCAGAAAGGCTTTTAAAGGAAGCTTGCAGGCGACGGTATGGAGTAGGGCGATGCTACTCGGACGGTATAAGACCTGGCCACCAAAGTTGGTACTGCTTGGTCGCCGTGCCGTGGAGATCAGAACCTCAGTTGTTCAGTGGCACCCTTTTTCCCTTTTTTTTGGTGGCTGCCCCACTAACAATGGTATTCCCAAAAAAGGGTTCCCTTGTTTTTCCAGGTTCACTGAACAACTGAGGAACAAGTCCGGCTAAAGGAAGCTTCCATGGATGCAGTCCTCTGCACAGAGGCGTCTAATGGCAAGTTCGCCGTGGGGGTTTTCGCTGGCTGAGAGTGCCGGTGTCCTGCTGCGATTTGGGTCTGGATGACGGAAACAAGACCCAAGTCTTTGAGGCGGGCGATTTTTTTTGGGGGCGACTTTTCTTTGAGGAAGTGGTAGCCGAACTCAGGTGGGACTCGTTTTATGTCTGTTAGGGGCAAGAAGGCATGATTCTAAGATGGTGTCCACTACCCCAAAACCACCACCCCCCAAAGGGAATATATACGCACTAGATAAAGGGTATATACCCAAATGGCTGTGGCTCAAAATCCGGTACCGAAATGGGTTGCCCTGGTAAGTGGAAACATGGACCAAACCCTGCGCAACCCCTTCTGTTTGATTTTGAGCCACACCCAAATTTCCCCTTAGGGTTAGTGGCCAATCAGAAGTTTTTCGGGCTCAGGGCCCAGAGGGCTTTCTGAGACTCGCAAGGCCCATGAACCTCTCGCGCGCCGGGAGCTCGACTCTCCCATAGCCCGGCTTCGGAGTTTCACATTTGACCAAGAGAAACGATGCCCAGCGGAGATTTGAGCCTTGAGCATTTGAGCCATCAAAAGCCCGCTAGATGAAGGTTAGTAAGGGACGATCCCAACCACAAATAGCTGCGGCCGCCTTCTCAATCCTGTCCATGGTTCTGGGACGATCATTTTAGTACCGGGTTTTGATTGCCGACTTATTTGGTTTCAGAAAGATCATGGTTGGGCCTATGGAAACCTTTAGTCACCATCTTGGTAGAGCCCAGGGTCAACGGGTTTTGGCTGGAGATGTGACAAGCATATCCTCTGGTCCAAATCACATCCTGAGCAACATCGTGAACTGGCCCTGAGCACAAATGGATGCGACCAAATTCAGGAATCTTGGCCACAATCAAACCCGGTTGTGTCTGGCTAGGGGTGAGTGCGGAAAGCCGTTTACGGTTTTTGGGTCGACTTGAAAACTAGGGTTTGATTTTGACTCAGCTGGGGTCACTGAATGGGTTGTAGCTTTGAGCCAGTCCGGTGAAGAGCAGAGCACTTCTGACATGCTTGAGCGAGGCATTCCGCTTGTGGAAAGCCCATTTTTGATAGGATGTCTTTCCATTTAGCTGGTTCCGAATTCCGCTTGCAGAAGGAAACTTCTGGTTAAACTGGTAAATGGGGCTTTCCTATTCAAGACGCCTGAATCAGTTTGAGAAGTTATAAAGGAACATTGTTTGATTGACTAGCTTTCTCTAGAATGAGGAAGCATGGGAACACCCCCAGAGAAGATCTTGCAACAGGTTCCATCTTGCCCCAAAGAACGTAGCATCCGCAAGGAACTGATTTTCTTACAGCCCATGTATAAAACAAAACCATTGGGCTTCCATGATGTGTGTTTTTAGTAAACAAGTACAAGACAACACCCGCTCTCCTGGAATCGTTTTTGACGTCACCCTTCCGCTAGGCCTTGCAGCTCGAAAGAGACCGCGCCACGGACCGGGGAGCTCTGGGCGAAGGGGAAAGAAACCGGACACCGAGAGCGTGGGTCAGTCCTGCCGGGCGAATGGGTTAGGCGCAAAACATGTGTTGCCCTTCTTTGGTTGTTCTGTCAAAAAGGTGTGGCGCTGTTTTCTGGTTTTGGTTAGTTAAGCTTGGTGTTTAGTGAAAAGTGTGTTGCGGTTTTTGTTTTGATGGTCGACAAGTCAGATTGTGTGTGTGTGTCTCCTTTATGGCTCAGTACTCTTTGACGGGGTTCATTGAAAAAGAGGCCACATTTGGACACCACGCCCCGCATGTTGCAAAGTTCAACTTCGAGGAATTGTGTTTGATGAATCCACCATCTGTACAAACACCCTTTAGCACGAGGGGGTGTGCGACATACCCCCCCCCTGAAGGGGGAGGTGGTAACCCACACAACCCACCCAACAAGAGCCTGTGCATGGGAAACCCATTGGAATCAAAGACCTGGGAATCAAGGACTTGAAGTACTTTTTGGTCCCAAGGGCATTGAGCGGCAAAATGTTTTCGCCGGGAAGAAAAGGGAGAACCAGTTTGGAAGCGAAACCCTACTAAACCCTAAACCCTAAACCCTACACCCTACTAGCTCTGTTGCACCGTGAAGGTAAGAAGCTCATCTAGGTTTTGGGCCAGTCAATTCACCGAGGCGTCAAAAAGGCGAGGCTGTTGGTGATCCGTTGGCCTCAACAATTTGTTGCAACCCTGACGCATGTCTCATGCAGGTGGCCAACGCTATCTGGTCAAATCTTCCAAGTGAACACCACATCCACACTTTATTTTGCTGTGACCGGAAGCAAAACATGATGATGTGGAAGCAATAATGCCAAAGTTTCAATGTAAAAGCACTGTCGGAGCTACCCCCTTTGGTTTGTACCGTCCAGGACCCTTTGGTGCAATCCGTGTTCGTTAGCTTGTTGGGGTATGTTGAATTGTTGCTGTTGTTTGGATGTTGTTTTCAGACTACCCTGAAAAGGTGGAGTATCCCTCCACCCTCCTCAAAACAAGGTACCCCTCAAACACGTACCCCTTGCTGAAGCGCCCGCAAAAGATAAGCGCTCAAGAGCACCAGCTCATAGCATTTTCGCGCTCAATAGCGCCTGCGCGCACACGCCGGCCAAATGACAAGCACACCCGTCCGAGAGCGCCGGAACAGAGGGGCAAAGGCTCGCAATAAACTCTCTTTGGAAGGTGTGCGTATGTCAGATGTCGTGTGGGCTATCATGGGGAGAGGGGCTGCAGCCCCCCCCCCCCCAACCCCGACCGCTATTTTTAGATGTTATGCAGAGATTGAATTGCACCCCTGTTGGAATCCTCATTTGTTCCGTGTAAGTTGTGTTTATGTTTCTGTATGGACTCCTGTATGTAAGTATGCGTGTATGTATGAATGTATGTAATCTATGTAATCTATGTAATCTTTGTAATCTATGTATGTCTTAGAACATCATGGGGGGGCTGCCGCCCCCCCCCCCCCCCGACCGCCCCGCCACTTTTTAGACTTTTGGCAGAGTGCGCCCCCTCATTGAATCATCACTTTTTCGAGCATCATGGGGGGAGGGTCTGCCGCCCCCACCCAAATCCCCCGCTACTCTTTGGGTGCTTTTCCGAGATTAAATTGCGCCCCTATGCGCCCCTTTTGGAATCCTCCCTTTTTCGGCCATCATTGGGGGGGACGACCCCCCCGATGCTTTTTTTACATACGTACATAAATACCTACCCCTTGCCGGAGAGGAACAGATGATGCTGAGGATGTTTGCGGGTGATGCTGGGGATGTTGGCTGGACATGCAGGGGAGTTGAAAACGATGCTGATGTGTTGACGGGCTAGTGTAAAATACGCATAGTTCGTGAGAAAATGTCATCATGATTCTGTCCAAGACAAAAAAAACAAAAATAGAACAACAACAATTCCCGAGTTAAATCTTGGCCCATAACAAAGCGGCCGCTAACCATAAGCTAGTCCTCCAAGGAAAAGCATTTCTATTACTAGGGGGCCCTCTTTTCGTTGTCGGAAAGCATTGGGAGAAAAACAATTGAGTCCAAGTCAAGGTTCTTTGCGCCGAGAGAGGAGAGAGAGGGAAGCGGTCAAGCGAGCGCGCGCGAGTAGACGTTGAGGCGTGAGCCAAAAAGGCAGGGTTGTTCGAGAAGTAGTATTCCCGGATTTTGGAAACATTTTTTATTACGGGGGAATCTATTTGTAGGAGGAAGCAATTGTAGGCAGTCCGCTTGCAAGCTGGGGTTGGCTCAGGTAGTTTTTGGTACTGCCCTCGAACGCGGCCGATTTGGACTTGGCCTTTGCCAAGCGTTGGAAGATGCCCGACGTCCCGCGCCTCAAGGGCAGGGTCCACCCGATCCTGCCCGATTTCCAGCGCGGTCTCTTTTCGCGAGTGTGCGGAACGTTGGAAATGAAACTGGACCGGGGTGAGGTCCACGCCCCGCTGTGCGGGAACGACAAAGGCCGACAAAGGGAAGTTGGCCGCTTGGTTGTTCAAACGCCGACTGCACCAGGGTCCCCACAAACACTTCCGGGCGTGGAGGGGCAACACGCATGTTACCTATGTTGCCCAGCACTGGGACATGGACGAGCGGATGGAGACAACAGGGCGGATCGTTGCGAGCTTGGACTTGGCCTTGGCGCAGAAACTGCAATCCTTCCGCGTTGAAGTGGGGGCTCGGGCCAGCGACCGCGGCGCGCCCATGACACCGCAGGAGAGCCGCAGTCAACACCGGGTGCTCAAAGGAATAATCCCAAACACGAACGGGCTAGGGCTTTTTATAGATTCTTGGCGCGGTTCTTGGTAGAGTATTAAACAAGGCTTTGAGTCTGACTCAGGAGGCGGCAGCGAGCTGTCAAGCTGGCTTCCGTTTCCTGGCTGTCAAGATGGCTTCCGTTTCCTGGCCGTCTTGCCGCTGGAGGAGCTGGCCCCGTCAGTTTACGATCATCAAAGCCGCCTCTAAGGGGCACAATTTCACTTGTGACTTTGGCACCCCAACAAACAGTCAACAGAACGGCCCCAAAAGAAAGTGGAAAGACCAAGTCCGCGAAGTGCGGGCAGCTTTCCAAAATCTTCCTGGCGAGGGGTCCCTTCCGCCGAAGCTGTATAGCGGCCAGCGGGAGGCTTTACCCTCCCGCAATGGTTACACCGTCAGATCAATCAGTGGGGGCTCTCACAGCTCAGCTGCTCGGCCGCTGCCTGGTCTCGGCAGCCGCCGCTCGGCCGGCGCTGTATAGCGCGAAAGCCGTCCTCGCTGAGTTTAGGGTTTCGGGTTTCGGGTTTAAAGGTCGCGGGCCGTCTTAGATGACCTGAAGGGCGAGGAGGACGCACAATCCCACACCCTAAGCCCCAAGCCGCGCAAATCCATAAACTATAAAATCCAAAACCTTAAGCCCTAAAAATTCACACCGTAAGAAATAGAAATCTAAAACCCTAAGTCCTAAACCCTAAACGTCCGAAACCCTTAAAGCCCAACCCGAAAATCCAAAACCTTGAGCCCAAGAATCCTAAAACCCTAAAGCCGGAGCCCTGAAAGCCTTAAAAAATGGAAGACGCCGCCGGCTCGGTGGACCCGCGCCCACACAAAAGGGCCTATCAAACCCCGGTGGTTACGACCACGTGACCAGGGAGCGCTTCACGGCCGCGGCGGAGATCTTCAATGCGCTTCCCCTTAAGAAGTGCAAGGGGAAGGCCGTTCTGCTGCTACTATGTGAACGGCTGGGGCGGCTCGAGCGGCCGCCCGGTGAGGCTCGGGGCGTGGCAACATCGGCCGACGCAACAAAACCTCTAAAACCTCGGAAGATCCGAAGCCAGGCTCGCCCTGAAAGATTTACGAGATTTGGAGGCTCTAAGAATTTGTGGTCCTGAGCCCCTTTTTTGGGCGCCTCATTGTCCTCTTCACAGACCCCCCCAGCCGCATCCTCTGCATGCCCTCCCCGTAGAGCTTTGCTCTAGAGCCTTGCTCCAGAGGACCAAGGTGGGTAATCTGACACAGCCATTCGGCCAGTTGGTCGCGGCCGAATTCACGTTGCTGACGCACAACCAACAGCAGCAGCGCGACGAAACTAGACCAGCCCTCTTGAAAACATTGGTGTGTGCTCAAACTGCTCCCGCTAAAGGAAGAAAACAATTGGAAAACCAACACAAATCTAGCCAAACATGGCTCGACCTGGCCCCCCCAAAGTACAATCCAAAGATACCCTTCGACTTAGCCTGGTGGATGGCATTCGAACACCCCCGCCCCAAGCAAAAGAACACGTCAAAAACACGCGCAGCAAACAAAAACAAGAAACCAAGAAGAGCGCAAACAAGAAAAGGCATGCTCAAACATAAGCCGCCTTCTAGACTTATTCGAGGGTTTCCAATTCCGCGTTGTGTCATCGATCGCCAGGACGCCTGGCGCCAGGGGCAAGGGCTACTTTGGCAAGGGCCTCAAGGCGTCGGTGCGCTCTTGTTTGCTGGCCTTTTCTTGTTTGTCGTGTTTGTTTGTTTTGTTTGCTTGACCTCGTCTTTTCATGTTTTGCACTTTTTCTGGGCTGTCTCTTGCTGGTTTCTTATGTGTGTTGTTTGCTTGTTTTCGTGTCGCTTGCTTGTTTTGCATTCGCCGCGCGTTTCGTTTTGGTCCGCGTTCTTGGCCTTGCTTTTCGCCTAGGTTTCAGCACCTGCGGCGTGCCGGCGGTACGCTTGGACCGCAGCGATTGCTTCGCTCGAGGTTGCTGAGGGCTTGCCTTGATTGGTACCCCTACTATCAGGCAACGCATGATGGGTGGTGTGGTCAGTTTGATGGCTTGAGCTTCTGGCAAGCCCCTCACAACAATGTCTGTCCCGGAGCCGTCTAGAAGCGTGGGCTTAACCTGGTATACTCAGGTATAGCCACTCGTAAACCTTGGTGAATCCCCGCTCAGTCCTGTCGGATGTTGAAAATACGAAGCGAGCAGTGAACAAGTGGTGGAATCCACCAAAAGCGCCGCCAACAATACTAAAAAAGAAGCCGTGGAATCCACAAACAGCACATCCAAAACCGAAAGCCCTGGCTTAGCTAGGTCCCCCGGTACGAGTAGCGCCCTTTGACCCTTTGTTGGGGGAGGGTGTGCCCTTATTCTAACCTCTCTACTGGAGGACAGTCAACTGGCGAATGTTTAGAATCGTCTCCTGAGGTCGCTGTGCCACTTGTTGCACACCGTGCACCACGCAAAGTTCGTGGAGGCGCTTTCGTGCCGAAGTTGATGGACAAATTTCAGACCACACAGATCTGGGGGCTCTTCCAAAACGATTTTATTCTTTAGGTAAACGAAATATGAAACATTGCGAAAATACGGATCGATGGGGGCCTGCTAAGTTTTAATGACGTTTCGAAGCCTCAAGCTGGTCATATTATGTCATATTATTTTGGGGGGAGACTCTGAACTCCTTCTTCAAATTTTGAAACAAACCCAATCGGAATGGAACCCACTGAGCTGGACGAACCAAACAAAGGAGTGTGTGCAACGAAGGACACCCATGCCCACCCCACCCCCACGCTGAACGCGCGCCACGCCCGATGCAGCCAGGGCCGCAGTGAGGCGTGCCAGCCGGAGGATTGGAAACTCCGGGACGCGCGCGCCGTGGTGGGCTGGGGCAGCCCAGTGGAAGCAGGGTGGGGCTCAGGGGAAAACACGACCCTCCCTTCAGGGAAACGAGGAGAGGATGACACAGAAGGTTTCCATTGGCGTTTGTGAGTTGAGTCGCACCAGCCTGTAAATGTCGCATCCCTACCCGCTAGGTGATGAAAAAGGGGGAGACGAATATATGGACCCATGGTTTTTCCAGTTGGCGGGTGTGGATCGAATTGAGTCCACTTGCAGCCACTACGAAAGAAGAAGCCAACTTACTGCGCCTGGTCAATCCAAGGTACCCGCAGCAATGGTAGCCCTGGGGGAGTTTGGTTTCGTGCCCAAACGAAGCGCCGTGATGTGGTTGGATCCTTTCTTGGGATTCCTGGTGCCGGGAGTGTGAATGACAGCAACTTCCCCAGGTAGTTTGTTTCATGATGGTTCCCTCTTCCGACCGTTGAACACGTTCCGCATCTTGGCAGCTTTTGATTTTCAGATTCATAAACCCCTAGTTGTTTGATATCTGAGTATCCCTTGTTGGAGGGCATTTACGGCATACCCATCTACTGATCCACCGGCTTGAACAATCCGGGGTCGACGTTCGCAGCCATTTCCAAGCTCAATATCTCGCGCAAGACCCGGACGGGCACAATCTCAGGACCGCCAACCGGGGGTTATCTTTGTTGGAGTACCCCTTTTTGGCTGGCTTTAAAGGAAACCCAGAAGGAAAGCCACAACTGTTGGCGGAGGTTCGGTTGAAAATCTCCCGTCCGAAGTCTCGGGAGGACAAAAGTGGGACGAAGTATTTGGATTGGCTCATGTCTTGCGCAACTATTTTGCCGCATGTCCGACCTTTGAAGCACGGCCTTGCGAGAACAAGCCCGGCCATTGAGAGGCAGATTGGAATGCGACTTGAGGGCTAGGGATGTTGCCTGCTTGGGGAGCCAAAGTGTGGATTTGAGGGCTTTTCGTGGCAGCAAAAAGGGATAGTCATGGACTCCTCACGGGATTCCGATGGATGCATCTGAGTTCACGGGAATCTCCACACCTTCGCCTTGAAGGAAACCCAACAAGAAGACCGGCAGGGGTGTGTGTGTGTCCCATTTTGGCGCGCAGGATGTGGAAGCTCTTGGCATTGCTGAGCCTTGCGGCAGCCCAGGACGCGAGTTGCCAGTTCCATTCGGAAGGGAACGTTGAACACTTGGCTCCCGAAGTTTCCCTGGGGTGCGGTTATGTTTAAAGGAGAAGTCTGTTGGACCTTATCGGGGCCAACGTTTCAGAGGGGGGATCATGCATACTTGAATTGAATTGAATGTGTGCCTTCTGGGATGATGCCAGAAAAGAACAACAAATTGCGGGGTTGGATATTGACCAACACTTTGGATTGATGACTGTCCCACGCAGGCGGGAACGACTTGATTTGAAGTGGAATGCCATCAACCAGAAAGGGAAGAACGGGCGCAGTGGAGTGGCGGTCTCCCTGGGGAAACATGGCTGATACGTCATCCCCAGCATTGCAGCAATCTTGGGTGAAACGAGAGGCCAGATGAATATCAGAAAAGAGCCCTTACTTGCAGCTGGTGAAATAGAGTACACCCTGCAGATGATCATGGACCCCACAAATCATTATTTGGAAAAATCTACTTTTTGAGGGCCATGTCAATTTAAAGTCGAGCAATCTGACCATTTCCACTCGTTGGATTCATGCTCTTTTTCTAACATTGCAGATTGGTTGAGCAAAGATGCATCTCAGTGGGAGCTTCCTGTGAAGAATGCCGATGGCAACCCAAAAAGTGATCAGCCGCTTTTCCCAGTCATTTGGCGGCACGTCCCGATCCTTACCACGCAACGGACCAGTCACGCAGGGGTGCCTTTGCCTTTGCTGTAGCTCGCCTATAAGCCAACCTCGCTCCTTTATCACTACCCCAGCTTTGGTGGAGCCGTTAGTGAACTTGCGACCTCGCAGGTAGTGCTGGGTTGCAAGCTCAGCCATATGAATATATATTTTTTTGAGGGTTCGCCTTGTTTCTGGTTTTAAGGGAACACCCAAAGGAAAACCGACAGTTTTAGGTCGTCAAGAAACAGACACACCCATATGGGGTGTCTCATTCCCCCTTTGTGGGTACAGGGGAATTTTGCATTGGGCACCCAGGATTATTGAAGGGATGATTTGCTCAACCGCACTCAGTTTTGGTCTTCCTTACTTGTTGTTGTGTCCCTATTTCAGGCTGGTGAATAAAGATGTTTCACCCGGAACTATGGTCCAACCATGAAGAAGCTGAGTTTTGGCCCCACTGAAAAGCGCTCTATGTGGAGGACAGGATTGCTCCGAACCTAAAAATATTCAATCACAAGCAGTGTACAAAGGGATTCCATGTGTTTTCCTTTGGTTTCTCCAAAAGTGCATCCCTTTCCATCCTTAGGTTTTGTCTGATGAACCAGGGGCATGTTTTCCACCCCAAATGGCGGATGGGGTCGACTGGCAGCGAAGGATTTGACTGGCAGCCTGGCAGGACATGCACTCGATGAACGGCCTGCTGCGCCGCAAGTGTGATTTCGTGCGGAAGGAGATGGGCAGCGGGCACAAGGCGCGGAATCGGAATCGGTCGAGGAGGTGTTTTTTTGCATTGACTGGGCGGTTCCTTAAGGCTCGGATGGTCCAGTGGCGCCAATGATTTTTCCTTTTTTGTTTTTGGTGGCTGCCCCACTAAACATGGTCTCAACAAGGGCTCCCTTTGCTTTTGCAGGGTCACTGAACAACTGAGAAGGTGATCCTTCATTCTTACCTTGGGCTGCGCAAGGAACCGGTCCCCTTTGTAGTGGCTACTTATAGGGATGATGGATTAGGATTGGCCAACCCTCCATTTTGAGCAGCCCAGTATTTGACACAAACGTTTCGGATATGCTTTGGGGTCGGTTTACAGTTTACAGAAGTTTACAGGTTGAAATGCCTTTCCAAACCGGACAAGGGAAGCAACCCACTAGAGGCCCAGGGGTCTTCAGGGGTCTTCATTAAGGAAAAAAAGTCATTAGCCTTCGCAAATCCACTCCCAAAAGCTGACTGTTTTTTTTGTGACAACTTCCCCAGGGATCCTCAGACCATCCAACACCCCGGGAAACAGCTGGAGCATCACCCTAGAAGTCTTGAGCTCAGTGCTTCTTCACGCCTTTGAGCCTGGCATTTGAGGGGGTCCGCTGTGATGGAAGGG